AAGCAAATCTCATAGATAATTGTTTTTTTATTTTGGAAGCTTTGTGTCTATGCTGCACAAATCTTGTGATCAATGTGGTCAACTTTTGCATAATCCCTTACTGTGTGATATGTCTAAGTATCAGTGAAAAAAAAAAAAAAAGCACAACAAAAGATTAATGAAGTAGTTTAAAATATAAGATACAAAATTGAGTGCAGATAAAAAATGCAAAATTGAAAATAATTTGTTAAAGTTATTTTTGAGAAATATCAATAAAAGAGCAAACAACACTGACACTATATTTTTGTGTAACCGAAAGCATCTTCTATAAAACAACTACTATATACTAAGTATGAAACCATGGAAAGTTTTAAGTAACTATATTCTGTTCAGAATGGCAAGTATGTAAAAAATAAGCATACAATTAGATAATGGCTGGAGACGGCTGATGATGACAAAACCTTGTCGAAACGTTGTACATTTGCTGTTATGTTAAACTTATATTAAAGTTTTTCTTCATTACCCATTCAAGCCGTTTCCAGCCATTATTAGTCTCAAAGTGGGTTCCTCGTCATCAAATTTAAATACAATTAGATAGTAACACTGGTGGAATCTGTTGGTAAAATAATTTGCAAATATATCAAATTTTTTTAAAGGCCAGCATAATATGAAAGTAAATTGTTGGAAGTAAAAAATTTACATCACAACTTGTGATAAACCAAACTTTCACTGCTTCATTATCTTCCAGCCCATGCTTGTATTTTAACAGACATTTGATTATAGTGCTTCTACTATACTAAAAGGCAAATCGTACAAGACCATTTTTTGTGATGTAAATAAGAATAAATTATAATGTTATATATTGAACATTGTTTTGTACCTGAATGTTCATGTCTTTATCAAGACAAATTTCATTTGTTGGATCATTGTTACGAATATTTTTTTACAAGCTTAATAGCTCTGAATTGCCCATTGTAGTTCCCATATTGTTAAAAGCATTATATGGGTCAGTATATTGACAAAATGCTTCAACAAACATTAAATACTAAATGATCTGTGAACAGCATAAACACTTTGATTATCTGAAATCAGTTAGAGCTGCTGAATCAAACTATATTTTACAATATCTAAAGTCTAATATACTTAAATAATTAACCCAAGGAAATTATTACAAAACAATTATGATATTTAAGAATTAAGTGCTTGGTATATGCAATTTAAAACACCATTTTTTTCCTTTCTTTCTTCTTTCCTTCCTTATGGTTGAACATGAAAGTACATAAATAATGATTATTGTTTGAAAATGTTTTTACCATTGAATTATGACACCAGGTGAGTACTGGTGCAAATGTTTATATTAACTTGTACATGTCATCTTTAGGTCAAATAAAAATTCAACAATCAATTTTTCATGAATGCTACCATTATTAACTTTATAGCAAAATCTTAACATTGTTTTTAAAAATTCCATGCTCAACCCACGTATAAGAAAAACTATTATTCAGTTAATTTAAACCAAATACTGTTTTGAAGTAAATTATTTGGATATACACTGAATTATTGCACCAAATGTCTGAAACTGCAGTTTAAACATTAGTCCCTTACCCTAGAATCTTGTACTTTAATAATGATAGACTGCTCGAAATTTTATTAGTTGGTTGATTTGTCAAACCGTAGTTTTTTTATTATTATTGTTAAATCAGTGTTCTTGATGGAAGGTAGTTTAAGTTTGTATTAAATACTTTTAAAGTGCTGTGAAGATTTATTCTTAATTTTCGTAGAATGTTAAAAGAAAGTTTAACCATTTAGAGTATTTCAAAGAATAATTGTTGTTTTATATTCAACATGTATTTAGTACAATATACACAGTACTGATATGAACAGCCATGTGCAGTCATTGCCATGTTTGGGTAATGTAGTATTTGGTATTTGAAAAAGTAATTACTATATATTATTAAGAAATTAGCATACAGCCTGTTAAAAATGACAAGGCAAGTACTACCGCCCCTACCCCAAAGTATACTCTAACGTCACATTTCATAACTAACTGAAATAAATAAATTTTGTGAAATCAATCTTGACAGAGGCAGAAAAGTGTAGCTGAGGCAGTCAAACATTGGTAAATTCCTTTGTGAGCCACTCAAAATTAAGATCATTCATGAAATGAATTAGTGGCATATTCATAGAAAAATTATTGGTAAAAATTGGTTAGAGTAACAACTTTTAATATATGTATAAGAAAAGGCAGTGCATTATCGTAACACTATGTTCCAACAATGGCTTTTATGTCGTGTTGCTTAGCCACAAAAATATAACTTAATACTGTTGTTAGTCTGTACTGAAAGTATAAAATGAAATGTATGAACAACAAAACTGAAAAAATATTTGTTGATTTCTTAATTTATATTCTCCATTGATTAAAGAGGTTTTTTTTTGGTGACATAACAGAAAACAGCTTAATTCAGAAATGATTTTAAGTTTAAAATTGAATCTATTTTTACTCTCATGATAGATTTTGTGCACTTTAGGCTAGGTGATTCCATACTACATGTTTATGTTAGGCTTATTATAGCAACACTCTCTACAATTATAATGTTTCATGGCACCCCACCCCTCATGGCCCCTTTCACCCCTGTCACTAAAATCATGATGGGCAGACAGTAATCAAACTATTCTATCTGGATAAATGCATTTTGATATTTATGACTCCTCCTATTCTGAGAAATCAAGCATGATATGAAACACTGGCTTTTATATAGGTTAGATTTAGTTCAAGACTAATATTTGGTAGCCGTGTTGAATCCTGAAAAGTATTTCTCAGTATAATACAGTAAGTCAAGGTCTAGTTTGCAACCAGAAATGTTCTGCATAAAAAGGGTTATAATAAGTGTATTAAAATTTTGAAATAATCCTAGTTGTAGGGTGTTAACTTCTCATTTGATGTAGTAGTTTGACTTGTTTACACAATTTTTTTTTTTTTTTTATTTACGATTGATTTATAACATTCATTTGCTTGTAAAATTTATTCTACTTGGGCTTATTATGTGTTACTTTTATTTGCTGGAATTAGATTAACTGTAAGTTGAGTTTATTTCAATAGTCTCAACTAAGTGGCCTGGTGGTTAGGGAGCCACTGCAACCTGCAGCTTCAAATTCCCATCACATTGAACATGCTTGCCCTTTCAGCTGTGGGGGCATTATAATGTGATGGTCAATCCAACTATTTGTTGGTAAGAGTTGACAGAGGGTGGTGTTTACTAGCTGCCTTCCCTCTAGGATGTTACTGCCAACTTAGGGAAAGCTAGTGCAAATAGCCCTTCTGTAGCTTTGCGCGACGTTCAAAAACAAACAAACAAAATCAAACATACTGTTGATGTGAGCATGCTTTGTAGTCTCTATGAGAAAAACCTATACACTGAAATTCAAACCAAACCAAAAGTGAATCAAGTTTGTATTTTTTTTTTTTTCATACTAAAATAAAGTATTCAAAATGTTATATTAGTAGAAATTCAGTTTTCTTATTTCAATTATTTTTGTCTGAAAAAATTTCAGGATTTTGCAGAAAACATCATAACAGAAACTCATCATTACTGGGAAGAACTGATACAGAATAAAACAGACAAAGGAGAATTATCATGGTAGGTTAAAAAATTAACTTCTATTTCCTGTTGTTATGCTTAAATAGAAAAATTTATAGAAATACTTAAGTTGTTTTCTGTACAAAGGTTTTTCAGGTTTAAAATAATAACTGTCTTATGGAACAATATGTAATTTCTTTTAAGAAACATTTCAATATTCAAAAGTTTGGACATTTTCTTTAATTTCCACCAAAATTGTAGGTTAGATATATCTGTATAGGATTGAAATAATATTCCAATTGTAATAATACGTTTATGATTAAAAAATAACATTTAGCATAAAAAAAAATTTATATTAAAACAGTTTTTAAATGTCTGTTACAAAATCTTATTCAAAAAGTTAAAATTTCATTAATCTTACTCTAATTTGTAGCACATTTAAAAACAGTTATTACATTTACTTATTTTGGGTAAAATTTATTGGACATGTTAAGTATAAATTTTCTGCTGGTGTTAAATGGTACGTCAAAACTTGTATTTGCATGTGACAATCTTTTTCTTTTTTTTTATGTAATTCATTAACAACAGTTTAATACTATTATTATTTTGAAGATCAGACTATAAAACCTATTTATAATTATTAATGTTTACACAATTATAAATAGCCTAATTCAAACCACCAATTAAAACCATTCCAATAATGTTTGGTATTATGATGGTTTTTCAGTTGTGTGTAAACTTTTTTTTTTAACTTAAGTTAGTCTCAACTTGTAATACCTTCCATACTTCTTTAAAGTCAACTTATAGTTTGTACCTGCACTATCTTTCTGATTTATAGGTTTAAAGATACCAAATAAATGTTTTAAGTATTAGATTTAATACACAAGTATATGTGAATAACGTGTAAATCACTTTTTCAAAGTTTTCCATGATGGCCTGATTACTTCATTACTTTCATTTTTTGAAGCAACCTTCTTATTTAAAAGCTTTTATCATTAACGAAAATAGTGTCGGCTAACTACATTGTATTTATTGAAGCTCAACTGTTTGTGTGGAAGACAGTCCATATAAGATTAGTATTGATGAGGCAGAAAACATTGTGAAACAGAGCCATGAATGTGGACCTGCAATGCCTCGTGATCAAAGTGGTAAGGGTGCAAGCTATACAAAGTCTTTTTTTTTTCTTCTACATTAATCTATGATTAATACTAATTATGTCAGTGAGTACATTTTTTGTAACAGAAGTTCATTGCCACACTTGTAGAAGGGTTTGGACAATATTTTTGGCATGTAATTTTCACTTTGTGAATGAGTAAATAAACAGACTTGCAAAGATTGATTCAAATGCCTATTTATAGGCATTTCGGGTGTGTGATAATAACATTTATAGTAAACATGGCCTTGAATGACCTCAATGATATTGTTACAGGGTAGGCCCACAGTGTCTCATTCCATATCACTGACAATTATTTTTTATTTTTTCATTTCATAATTTTTTTGCCTATAAATGGACTTCTGAACCAGCTGGTATATTTAAATATAAGGGTTGAATACATTATAGTGAAATGATTTTGGAGCTTTGTCATTACTGTCCATGTTGCCATGTCAGGTCATGCTCTTATAACTGTGCATCTTAATAATAGCCCTGCAGCATAATTTTCACTGAAAAAGGCTGTCATAAGGCTGTAGTGTTCAAAGCACATCACTTCTACCTGCAGGCTTTCCATAGTCCATTTATTGTACAAAAGGTAATTGTTTCCCAGTACCTATTTCAACAGTCTGATTGCACAGAAATCCAGAGGAACTGTTTCTGGCAACTTTACTAAAATGTTTTTGCATGGAATAGTATGAATATCTATTGCATTCTCCAGCTGCTTGAGCTATGCAACAGTTGGTACAGGAGATATGACTGAAAGCCTTATCTTGGTGGACCCATACTCTGTTGGCCTAGTTTCCAGATTGACATCATTTTTTATTGTGTTGCAGCCTGTTGTCTGGGGCACATGGTCTGTTTTGATACTGACCATATTGTTCATGGGCTCTAAGCTGTTAAAAGATTTTGCACTTGGCTTGCCATTGATGGATTAGGACATTTTGTGGGTCATTTTTCTGGATGGTTCTGGTACCTCAAGTTGATCCATTTTCTTTTATTTTCCAATCTTGTTAGTTAACAAGGGATGTCTCTATTTTGGAAATTAAATCCCCAATATGAAAACATCATTTTGATCTCAAGAGTATAAATATTTTCTATTAGAAAGGGCTGTTACATACTGTTTTTGGTGGCATCACACTACCTATGAAATGTCAAAAAATTTCAAAATAGTTTTGATACAATCTGTTCCACCACAACATTATATTGGCTCTGATTATCAAATTTTATCATTAAAACAAATTGACTATATTAATTCGTACTCAGTCATTTTCCTCTTCTTATTATTCCTGAAATCTGGTGTACATTAACACGTATACAGGTTGTTTTATTTGTATGTGAGATGATTTAAAGAAGATATATAAGAAGGCAATTCAGCCAAGGTGGTGTCAGTTTTTAATTTTTTTAGCATTTTATATGTAATAACATTTTCACATATAGTCTTTATGAACAGTGAAAATCAAACTTTGAAGTAATATTGAACCAAAGATTTAAAAAATGAATTTCCTGGAAATATTAAATTTGTCACCAACTTTCATTACTTTTCAGAGTTTTACTGGAAATAGTTATTTGTATATTCTCTCTTTTATAGTACAGTTCTATTCAGAATGCACGTGGTATTTAGGCAGACAATATCCAAAGAATAATTGTTAAATACACAAATATAAAAGCTAATGGGGGACTGTTCAGTTTGACATATACAAAAACTCAGATTAAAAGAGAGAAGCTTTTGGAGATATCTGTTTTACTTCCTTTGGTAATAGATAAATAAAAGGTGTAAGGAAAATAATGGACACAATATAAAAATACTGTGAAACATTAAAGGTATATACCAGAATAGAGAGAATCTAATGTAATAAACTAGGTATGTTAGTATTGAGTGTGTTTGTGGCTTCACCTGTCATTTTGCAATATATGCCATTCTTAAAACAAAAACAAGTGATTTTGAAATATTGTAGGGTGTTGAAACTATGAAGTTTAAACATTTTCTCTATCTATTTAAGATCGCTTGTGGCAGATGTACCTGCCAAAAGTTTCTCAACATGTATATCATCATCGTGGGAAAATTCACCAATGTAAAAAGCACTCGATTGAGAATAAAAAATACTGCTTAAAATTGAAAACTATTCATGAATAAAAATTGGCTAATTATTTCTTGGATAATTAATAGTCTAATGCTAATAGACATTTGTTCACAAATGTGACAATCATTATTCTCTTTATGTAAAAGAAAAAAGATTACTTTAAATTACTAGCACTTCTTTAACACTCCATTAGATGACAGTTGACATCATCAAGTTAGTCATGCTAATGATAGCTAGCATTTCTCAAAACTTCAGTTCTCGCCTGGCCCATGGGATTGAATGCGTGCCCTTGGACAACCTGTGTTTTTGTGTAACACTTATGTTTGTTAGGCAATAAAGAACTAGAAGCTCCCAGCCACTCCTGAGATTTTACTAAGTGTAAATATTTATTATGATGTCACTTATCGCATGATTTTATTTACATATTTTCATTAATTGATATACTAGTGTGGAAATCTACCAATCAAAAAATTTTAAATTCTTAAAATTTCGACTACAATTTTTTTTATTATTATTGTTATTATTACCCCTTCTTGAAAAAACTGGTAACTATTTTGCAACTTGTAATCCTTCACAATATTTCAAACTCACTTTTTTCATGATCAATGCATGTGGTAAATATACAGAAATAGTTCAATTTATTTTTTATTTTTTTTCTCAGTCTAATAGTATATGTAGTCTTTACAACCAAGTCCACCCAATCTTATGTCTGTTTTGTTTTTCTTTATTCAGTATCATCTGTGAAGTTGATGTAATTGTATTTACATTTATACTCTACCCATTTGGCTTTCATACTTGTCTGTTTTAACAGGAAATTGAACCATTCACTTAGATTTAAACTTGCTTCATTAAAAATTTAAACCTGTTTTGAATGTTTTTGATTTCTTTATCATCTTCTATTAGTAGGATTTCAATCATTCACCAATCAAGAAGTTTCTTCTTGGTAGTTCAATTCATTTAATAGATTTTCTTGTACATTTCAGTGAATAGGTGGCATTTTGTGCAGCTGCAGTGAAAATTTACTAAATTCGTCTGACACCATGCTGTTCTCCACACAAGAATGAGCTGTGAATAAAACAGAGCAGTTAAAATATTTTTCTAAGTTGTGATACAGTCACAAGTAGTTTCATAGTTAAGTGAAGTTCCAGTAGTTTCCACTGTTATTCAAGTTTATTGCAAATTGAATGGAGAAAACTTATCTGGATCTTGCTTGGAATTTGTGTATAGCATATTTAGTGATAGTCAATCTGTAGAATATGAATAACATATTCAAGAAAAGAACTACTTCAGTATCTTTGAATAGTCAGGAGTTTTAAGAAAATTTAAGTCAACTTGCTAGTATCTGATATTGATATATTATACAATTGCATAATTATGCCATGTTATTTTTGAGAACAGTGATCTGTTGTTGCAATAAATTATCAAAAATGTATATAAATGGTAATGAAGGAAAACAAGAATTGAATAGTTAAATGTCACAACACTTTTTTTTAATAAAATATCTTGATTTGATTTTCAAAGAATGTAGCTGCAAATTTGTTATTGTAACTGGTTTCTTCAGGTCTTGTGTTACTTACACTAACAATTCATATAGGTGACTATATTAGTATGTAAGGAGTATTAAAGGTATTTATCAAGCTGATTGATGATGTTAGCACCTTCATTACATCTGTATTTACTGGAATAATTAATTGATATATTTTGATGTTTTTTTCTAATGCTAACACTTAACCAATTTTTGACATCATTGTCTTTGATCTCACATTTATTAAGTAATGATTAAACAGTTTTTAAAAACTTTCATAAGCTGAAGTATATAATTACCCCCTATTATACCATATTGAATAACTTATTATTGATTATTTGTCTTAAAATGAACTTAGTATCATGGCAACTCGTACTTTTATTTTAGCTCTTTAGTTATTTAAAATAACCTACAATTAAGTGGCAGTCACAGTTTGAGTTGTATACTTTTCTTACAACAAGTAGTTTGCATATTTTATTTTTATATCTATTTTTCTCCATTTGAATCACAATACATTCAGTATTTTTAACTGTAAGTAAAAAACTCAACAAACTTTGGTTTAGTTAAGTGTATGTGAATTACTACTGTTTAAACAGGATGCATATACATGAAGTTAATATTGTGAATAATTTATGCCCGTAGTCCTGACAAAGAATGTGTGTGTGGTAGGTATAAGACTTCTAAAGCAATGCATTATTTCGTAAGTAAAAATCTGTACATGTGGTAATCGTAGCCTGTCATTTGGAATTCTTAAAAAAATACATATTTGATCCTTAATTTAATAAATTCCAACCAGCATTCCTGTATATGGTGTTTTGTTGATTGTATAAGACTGCTATAGAAACAGTACTAAAATGCTACACATTGGTAATTACTTATTAATATAAACTCAAACTACTGATGGCAAGGTTGTTGAATGTTATCAGGGATGCTTTCTCTATCAAGCAACATAAGTATTGAAAGAAAATTACATAAAGGTTGACACCCAGACACTTAACTTTATAAGGAAATTATAGCTTATTAAAAAAAATGTTTGATTCATTGCTATGGTAGATTTGAGTTGGGTTTTTGTTATTGTTGTGAATGTTTTAAAATGATGAATTTATTTTATGTAATTAAAAAAATGTCTAAAATTGCAAAGGGTGAATAATTTTTACTTTTACATGTTATTTCACCAATAATATATATTTTGAAAGAAAGAACTACTGTTAGAATAATCTACTGAAATACCAACAACAAATATCATACACTTTTAGCACAGATGAGATTTGTAAGAAATTTTTGAGTGATTATTTTTTCTTGTTAATAACTATACATTGACTACTGTGTGGTACAGAATTTATATTAAGTAGTTAAATCCCTTGGTAAAATAGTATTTGCTGCATGATTCCTATGCCTCCATCTAGATCAATCAACTTTTCTCAATAACTTTTAAAAAACATATATTAGGTATGATGCAAATTCCACTAATATGGACCAAATGAATTCACTTAAGAAAAACCTAGTGTGTGTAAAAATAATTTTTAGAACTTAAAATTATTCCTCTGCAATTGCAATTAATAAACATGTTCTTCAGACAACATATAATATGTTATCAATAACGTAATTAGCTAGCTTATACTAATGAAATTCAAAATGACAACTCAATAACATAATAGGCAAGATGGGCTATAGAAATACCTGTGTATAAATAAGAGACTTGTTGTGCTTTTATGGGCTCCTTAGCTGGATCAGATTCCTCTGATGAATTCTTCTATGTAGCTACCCATTTGGTCACTCTCTCACTAACATATTTCCAAAGTTAATCATGGTGGATAACTTTGTTGTTATATCTCCTATACTTCTGGATTCTTTAAACCTTATCATTGATTATTTTCAGTATAACTTATGGTACTTCCTGGCACATGCTTACATTTGGAGTTTGTCCTTTCTTGTGAAAAGGATTACATATTATCTCCATTGAGCCTAGTCTTATTAGCAGTAGCATCATAGTGACTTTTCATTTTATCACTAGCTGATTTAAGTGTCTCCTGAGTAAAGTCATGCATGACATCAATAGTGTTACTTAATCTCTTTACATGTTCTGTGTATGACTCCTAAGTGACTATCTTCAGGATTAAAGTACAGAAGGTCCAATGACACTTAGTTTTCTTACAAACCTCAGTGATGCTGATGGGTTGCCTGTAGCTTTATGTGCTGGTGTACAATAACTCATCAGTAGCAGTGTAAGACCTTGATCTCATGTTTTCTGATGTCTGTTTACATAAATGGCTGATTGATTTAACAGGGTGCAGTTGTATCTCACCAACATGCTGTCTGAAGATGGATGAAGAGCTGTTATCCTGGTGTTTTTTATCTCAAGGATTTGACACATTTCCAAAGGCTGATTCAAGGTCCCATTCATGATTTAAATGAAATTCCATATATACACCAAATCTTGAAACAAGTTTGTTGTTGAGCTTCCTTGCTAGAGATTCTGTTACCTAGTTACCATTACAATCATGATATACTTAGTTCCATTGTTACTTTGTGGCAGAAGACCAAGCACATTGACAGCATCTCTCTCAAGTAGTGCACCAACACAATACTGCTGTAGTTACCTATACTGTTTCTTTAATGGACCTTTTTGCTTACACCAGAGTTCACATGTTTTACTAATTTCTCTACAGATACCCAGCACTCCATCCAATATAAATATTTTCTTACTCCAGTATCTTCTTAACACCTAAGTGTCCAGCCTTTGGAAAGTTGTGTATATGATAGGATGATGTGGAATGTAGAAATTGTGGAAGTAATGACTGAAGTTGTTGCCTCTGTTCAATAGTATGTTTCCATTTCCGACATATTGAGCTACTTTGTAACCATAATGAATCCTAGTATGTCTAGTACAACTGTCATTGAGCTGTATAAAGCAGTTGTTTGCCATGAGGGTCTTTCTGCACTATTCTTGAGCCATTGAATAATTGTTTCAAAGTTGTATCTTTTGCTTCCTGAGTATCTTATTAGTTGAGTGTTGGGCCACATTAGTTCTTTATCATCACTTGTGTATACTCTGTACTTTAGGGGTAATCTTTATTATATTTTGGTTCTTTCTTTTCACGGTGTATACAGTTTTCAGCAACATATGGTCTTCAGGATAATGTATTGGTATTTCCATGGTGAAACACAATGTTAAAAATTGTACTCCAGGAATTTTTGAAGCCATCTAGCCTTCTGGATTGCAAAACTTCATCAGCAACTTTAATACTGCATGAGCTATATGAAGTGTAACTTTTAGCCGTATAGGTAATAATGAAATAACTTTGGGCTTGAACAACACTTAGCAGCTCTTTCTGAGTTAAACAATACTTCATTTCAGTGGTATTCATTGCCTTGCTATAGTAGACAATCATATATTCTTTCCATGTTGTAGTTGTGGCAGAACTGCTCCTACTGCAACATCCTGGGAATTGTATCTAAGATGAGTGGCTTTTCATATAATCTGTGTAGAGGACGACCTATGCCAGATAATGACTTTACAAAACAACAATAGCAGATACCCAGCCCAAGCAATCCTTTTATTTCATACAGGATCTTTGATGTTGGCCGATTCTGTACAGAGTCGTAGACACACTTTCTATGCTGGCTGTTGACGGAAGAATTCAAACTTTTTGGAATTAAGCTTAAGGTTTTCTTTCCTCATTTGACACAGAACTTCCTCAGCCCTTCATAAAGCACTAAAAAGTTGTTCTTTGACTTTTTTCTCTGTGGTAATGTTGTTCTTTTGTTGGGCTGGTTCTCTTAAGTTACTTGGTGAAAATAAAGCCAAGTGTAGTCCACGTACTGTTAATAAATTACTTTATTTCTTCCTTAACATTGGCTACTATTGGTAACACTTCTACAGAAAACGTAAGTTTAATGATAAAGCAAAACATGAACGTGATAATAGGAAGCATTCACTAAACGTTTTGGAATCATAAAAATTCCGTCATCAGTAATCTGGAAGTACAAAACAAAGAAATGATATTTGTAATTACAACAGAAATATGATATGCATCAGAAGTAAACAATTTGAATAATTAAAACAAGAGAAAATGAAAAAATATGGCACAAAGCTACACAATGGGCTATCTGTGCTGTGTTCACATAGGGTAACGAAATTCGATTTTTAGCGTTATAAGTCTCCACACCGCTGAGCCACTGGGGGAAGACGGCTAATAGCACTGGAAAACAAGGAATATATGGATCAACTTGGGTCACAAGGAACATTCAGAAAGAGACCTGCAATAACTAGAACCTCAGCAAAGTGCGGCTTCTTGTAATAGACGAGAATCCACTAACCCGAAGGTCATCGTGAAAAGCCGTCCACGTACCCTATACAACAGTGTACAACATAATCAAGAAGGGACTCCATCATAAAAAGAGGCCAGCAGAGTATAGGTTCATCAAGATAGGATTGGAAAAGTAGTTCCACTGAGACCCTATATCAACTGTGTTTGTTACGTCACTTGCCGATTTGCACATTCACAATTATTTTAATATAACTTACTTAACCCTGTTTAAGTATAATGTTTGTAATCTGCCTTAGGTTATATAACAAAATAAATTACCAAATATAAAAGAAAATCATTATTAGCAGGATTCATTATATTTGATAGACTGGTAAAGTAAAATTTTCTTGTCTTATTGGCTACGCTTTCCAGTGGCACAACGTATCTCTGCGTGCTCACAACACTAGAAACCGTGTTTGGTTATACCCGTGGTGAGAATAGCACAGATAGCCATTGTGTAGCTTTGCGTTTAACTACAAACAAACATATTGGCATGTGATAATTTTTTGCATAAGATGAATCCTTATATATAAACGCCCCCCAGTGGCACAGCGGCATGTCTGCGGACTTACAACGCTAGAATCCGGGTTTCGATACCCGTGGTGGGCAGAGCACAGATAGCCCATTGTGTAGCTTTTTGCTTAATTTCAAACAAACAAATTATATATAAACATCCCATTTTCATGATACTTTGGAATGGTGGGGAAACTAAAAAAAAACTTTTACCATCTTTTGAAACAGTATTCTTGGAATTAGATATCCGAAGAACAGAATTCTCCGTTAATCAATAACAATATACGAGAATGTAAAAATACTTATTTTTCTATTAGTGTCATAATTTTACATTTACCTTTATACCTATTACTCTTTGTCCCGCTATTACTACTACTGGCGCTTGCTTTTGGTTGAGTTGGATCTCGGTTGATGTAGGTACTTGGATTTTCAAAACTGGCTTTTGGGCAGACAAGTCTCGCACCATAGGACAGTGCTGATGTCTTCTGGAAAGTTATATGACCAGAGTAACGGAAGGTGTGATGAATTTGTATTCAAAATAGGAAAATAAATCGAACTTAACAAACAGAATGAGATATAAAAGTGTCACTTGAAAACAAAAGCGCTTTTACTTACCAATTCAACTACTAAATAACTCATAAATGTAATGGTACATAAATGTGCTCGATGAATACATGGCGAATTTAACCGAGAATTAATTTTGCCTGAACTATGTTTAATTCCGACATCTATTAGAAATTCACAGAATACCACGCCACTTACTCCATTCGTTAGACCCATGTACTCGCTCTTTTAAACCTACTAATTACTTGGTTTTCCACATGGTCGAATCTGCAGTACAATTTAACAACGGCAGTGTTTCAGTCATTGGGTTACTCCTCATCCAATTGCTCTATGGCATAAAACACTGAACACATTCAAGATCAGTGTCATATGTTGCACCACCTTGTCCTTGAATCTAACCAATACATGAGACAACCTACCTGAAATATTGGAGTATTCTTGTTACCATCCTTTTAAACATTGACAGGTTAATCTAATTTGCCTCACTGCCAAAGCGAAGTGGTTTTATGGTCACGTACCCACTACCAGTATCTCTGAAAAACAGTCAGTACCCGAGGGAAGCCATACCCATATTTCTAAGGTCTGGAGAAACACGTGTCCTTAAAAATGAAGCGTCCTCAAGTAAAGTCAGTAGAGATGGCTGTGGCATGAAGGAACATGTATTTTTCATTGTTTTCTCCACAAACCGTAGCAACTGAATACATTTTCAGATTATCATCGCTGTGCCTTGCCAGTCTAAAAGGTTCCTGATTATTCTAAGAATCTACAGTATTGTAGTGAGACTCAGGCTGCTCCACTTGGCAGTATTATAGCTCTTAATAGCTAAATAATAATAATACTTAATTAGTAATTCAACTTAAATGCTCGTAAAGGCTACTAACCATGACATAAGTTATTATTACTTAGATTTTGAAATCAAGTGGTTTTATTCATAAAAAAGTTTACTTTAATTCTTAATAATCATTTCTTGTATTATTAAACATATGTAGATATGTTGTTACAACTATTTATTAGTATTGTTACGTCTCCGTTCGTTAGTTAATTTTCCGTAAATTCGTTCCGACGAAACTTTAGCGACACAAGTCCTTTCTTAAATAAAACTGGTTTATTCTTTCTGAATATAACTTTGCGATACACTTAATTTCAACAGTCGCGCTATAACAAACGTCTCACATGCTCGAGTTCAATTACACACTCTCTGACTGCAGTTCAATTACTCATTACCTCTGTTGTCCCGTCACGTTGTCACCATCTTATATATACCAGGCTACCCCCAATCTAGGAAGGTTCGAGAAGGAAGTGGCGTGATACTAGTCACGTGACCTCGCTGACGCAACAGTATTAATAAACAATGAAATACTACTTTTAGTTAATCCATTTAACCAGAAAGTCCCTTGTGGGTCAGTGGTAAGTTTAGAGAGTTAAATTCGAGGTTCGTTTCCCGCGGCGAACAGAGTAGAAGTAGCCCATTGAGTAGTTTCCCGTTAAAACAACCTACTAAGAATATTTTTGAATCTTTGTTTAATATTATTAAGATAGTACTTATGAATCTTTCTCAGTTCCTATGCCACAATGTTTCAACTTTAGGATAAAAAAAATAGATGTAAACAAAGTAACAACTTAACTGGACTAAAAAGTTCACTAAGAATGTATAATTTACTATATTCCGGCTGGTCTTTAAATACTCTTTTTTTTAAAATAATATTTACTAAATGTGTACACATCGTGATGCAAAACTGTTATCTGCATCCGTTTATGCAGACAGTGATACCTTTAAAACGTAACTTCCGGTTATATTTACTAACGTATATTTAAGAACTACTACGGCAATTGGTGCAGTACTGCGACTTTGTGTGAGAGAATTCTGACGGGAGTGTTCGAATACAACAACTAGTAACACTTATTTAAACGTTTATTTTCAAGATATTTTGTTGAAAAACTACAAATCAAAGATGCAGCGAAGATATTCTGTGATAGCGTTTATTGGTATCCATGTGTTTTTAAGTTTGTGTGCAATTAAAACTACAAATTGTTTTGTCACAAATGATGTTACCGTTAGGGCCGGTAATACATCTCTTCCAATAATAATATGGCATGGCATGGGAGACAGTTGTTGTAATCCATTAAGTATGGGATCCATTAAAAAATTCCTGGAGAAGAACGTTCCTGGTGTGTACGTGAATTCACTTATGATTGGAAACAACATCATAGAAGACACAGAAAATGGTTTCTTTATGAATTCAAATAAACAGGTAAAGTTGGTTTGTGAAAAGCTGATGTCTGACACAAAGTTGAAGAATGGCTACAATGCAATAGGTTTTTCACAGGGAGGTCAGTTTCTGAGGGCTGTTGCTCAAAGGTGTCCGACACCTCCAATGGTTAATCTCATAACATTTGGTGGTCAGCATCAAGGAGTATATGGTTTTCCTCGATGTCCAGGGGACAACTCCACAATTTGCGATTACATTAGAAAACTGCTGAACTATGGTGCATATATTGGTTGGATCCAGTCTTCCCTTGCTCAAGCCCAGTATTGGCATGATCCTCTTAATGAAGAAGAGTATAAGGAAAAGAGTATTTTTTTGGCAGACATTAACAATGAAAACAGTAAGAATGAGACATATAAGAAAAACTTAATGAAATTAAAGAACTTTGTGATGGTCAAATTTTCACAGGATACTATGGTTGATCCAAAAGACACTGAATGGTTTGGATTTTATTATCCAGGGCAAGGAAAAAATACTTTCACTTTGCAGAACAGTACTCTGTATAAAGAAGACTGGTTGGGCTTGAAGCTGATGGACAAAGCTGGAAAACTTCATTTTCTAGAAACAAAAGGTGATCATCTTGAGATTGATTTGGATTGGTTTTCAAAAAATATTATTAGCAAGTTTCTCCTGTAAACACATAAAACTTAAGAAAAAGGGGCTTTCAAACTTGCTTATTTGCCCATCACAAAAGAAAATTATTTTGCAATTTGTCTATTGGCCAATATTTAATGTTGTACACAAGTCTATACTGAATTGTGAAAAAATGTGTCTATATATAACGATATATTTTGAATATCTTACTGGCCTTTTGAGTTCTGGATTATTCTATTTACATGTATTCTGTAGATTTATTATTGTACAGTAAAGTAAAAAAAGTTTGAGTATCTGACAGTTTTTCATTATATATACATTTAATTTTTGCTTGATAGATATTGCTTCATGTAAATGATTTCTTTCATACAGGTATGCATATCTATCTTTGATGTTGTTGTAATCCTAATCTAAAATAAAAGATAAATTGCATGTACAATATACAAATGAAAATTAATGTTTTAATCAGGTGTGATATGTAAATGATTTGTTGATTTATTCCATGCAAAATTCATTTTTAATTTGAAGACTAATGACAGTAATGTTTAGACCCCTGTACAGCTAATCCATATGAAAATGAAAGTTGATTGACTTAGCTTTTTATCACAAGGCAGGTTTGTTTAAAATGATGTTTTTTTAATAAAGATTTTTAAATACTGTTTGTTGCTTTTTACACTAGCATCTAAGTTCATGAAAGTTTACAAAAATGATTTATTAAGCATATATTAGCTAAGTAGTTAGCGAAAAACACTTGAATGTTAATTGCTCAAGATCAAGAATTCATGTTTTAAATATCCAAACCTTACATCTTAACTAGAAAGAGCTGAATAATTTCAGAGTACCATCTTAAAAAAAGAAACTAAACATGTAAACCCAGATTTTTCACTCTGGTGTAAGTTAGCTCAAGTTTTGTCATTTTACATAACATATTTTACTCTGAGAATCAGTTTTTCTTATACAACTGCTCCGTGGAAAAAACAAATAAGATAGCAGAAGGCAATTTGGACCATCAAGATCAGTCATAATTTCTAGAAAGTAAAAACAAACATTAGCTAATATTTTTTTTCAAATCACTTTACAATGTATTACATACAAAAAGAAAAATTTCAGAAAATCTAAACCATCAGTATAAGTTAGCAATTAACAGTGAAACAATTTTTCCCAGAATTTTTACCTAACATGTGTAGTATTCAAATCATCATTACTAAAATTATTGGACCAAAACCAATAGTTTGGATAAGTAGTGTAATAACTTTGCAAACTAGAACCATATTATATCTGGTTCATTTCAGCTTGAAGTTTTTGGTCTTCCAATAATAATGACTTCAGTTTGCTGAAAAAAGTGCAGGATGTTATGTGGTTTAATAAATTCAAGTTATCAAGAGAGGCTTAATGATTTGGTATAGAAGAAAGTGATTTTATTCAGGCTTTTATAGCCTGACTATGAATGGTTTCAGTAGTGGAATGAAAAATAAAGTGAAACACATCAAACCATTTAATATTTTTCTTTAACAAAATTACTTCTCTGTTATATGCTTTTCAACTATCCAGAGCGTCCCAAAGTTGAAAACTGGCAAATAGCCAAAATGGAGAATTCTTATTTTTCAATCATCATCATCTTTCTTCAACAGGCCTAGTGCCTACCTAATTCTAGCAGTAACTATAATTTTATGATCATTTAATAGAGCAAAACTGTCTTTATGATCTTTGACTACCTATTTTACAAGTACTGGGAAAAAATTTTGTGGCTAAATAAAAAGCTGGATACTGAACTTGAAAAAAGGAACCAAGCAAGATGGGGATGGAAGTGGACATATCACTTGTTCTGGCTACTGATCAAGCAGATTAAGCTGTGTCGACTTTACATGGAGAATATAATACATACATTACTGGCTTCCCCATTTTGTCTATTGAAAGCTTAGTGTTTTGAATAGAATCTCAGCTTTCATCATTATACCTTTCCTTTAGTTAACCTTAGAATACTATTTTTATGACTATTTTATAATAATAGAGTAACATTTTATTATTGAAAATTCTGGTTCTGTTTGTTTTACCAGAGAGGAAGCCAGTAATGTAGGGATTTTATTCTCCATGTAAAGTCGAGACGACTTATTCTGCTATTTGATCATTAGCTGGATCAAGTGATATGTCCATTTCTATTCCTATCTTGTTTGGTTCTTTTTTCTTATTAAGTGTAGTTTTACAGTGGGTATGTCATTTTATCTTATGTGTAGTGTGGGTGTAACTGTAGATTTGTCTTGCATGAAATTTAATAACATGTTTTCTTCACAAGCCTATTTATATTTGATTTTCACCTGTACTTCTTTACATTCCACACTGAAACATGTTATCCTTCCTGCTCTTGGAAGATGTTTAGTTATGGATCCTCTGTCCCTGGTGGAATTGAAGTGAAAACATATTCAGGCTGATGACAACAAAGAACAACACAGCTCTGTGGAATGTTATTTATAGATGCACTGCCTGTAGAAGATCATTATAGTATATTTGATTTTTGTGATGAAACCATTTATAGGATGGTCAACTTTTTGAACTTGCTGGAAATAATTTAGGTGGTTTATCTAAATTAGAAATGTAAATTGAACATTTTTTAATTCTCTCATTCTAACTATTTTCAAAATTTTGTTTTCAAACTGAAAGTTTGCTTCAAAATAGATTGATGAAGCAATTAAAATATTGTTAAATGCAAAATGACAAGCTTTAAGAAGAATGACACATGCTGGTAAATTGAAAAGTATGGAGTTTCATTAAAATACATAAAAGAAGGACAAGAAAGTCACTGATAATACTAAGAACTTGGAAGTGTGCATGCTACAGTCTTTTATAGAATACCATTCAATATGGTATTATGTATATCATGTCAGAGTTGTCAATTATTCATTATATTCTACACTTCTGATTTAGTAACAATTTGTGGTAGAGGAGAGTAAATACCAGACGTTTATACAGGGATATTGAAAACAACTGCAGATATGCATTTAGAAATTTCTAGATATTATGCAAACTGTATGATTGACAAAAATATTTTTAGCCTTCACATTAACATCAACTTGAACATCTTGTCAGCATCTGAATCAGACTGAGGTCATGATTTCATAGACTCATTTTGAGTACAAATACTTTTATAACACATCTGATTTTTTGTGTACAATAGATTTTTATATTTTACTGAAAACTTGTGATATTCCATGCAGATACACATAGTATATTTGGGATTATAGTCAGCATTCCTTCTCCATTACAGGGTCAGGCCAATGGACTGAGCTTGTAAACTTTCTAATCCTAAAATTGTAAAAACTTCACATTTTATACCTTATAAGTAGGTAAAATTAGCATAAGAAATATTACAAATAGACCAGCTGTAACAGTAAACCCTTTTATTTTTTGCTTGTTTTAAATAAAACTAACAGTATTAGATACAGTCATAATGTATTTTCATTAATTATGTTTCATATAAAAAAAAAGATTCCTTTTTTTGTAACTGCACTTATTAGATTCAATTATGAATTAATATTTTACTGTTTTTTTTCACAAACTAAGCTGAATTGTTTTTAGCAGAAATACCAGTTTATATTTGAAATGACCTTACAAGTATCATTGTATTACTCCCTTAAATTACTTGGTGTGGTGAATACTATTTACACACACAGATATATATATACAGTGTAATATATACAATTGTTGCTTGCAACATTAACCTATGAGAATTGTCACAATAGATACACGTTTTTATTTTTAAATGGGCTAGGTGACTTGAATCATGACTTAATATATGCATTTCAATAATAACATTTATTTTGCATGATTAAAATTTTTAACTCCTGAATTAGATAATGTTTATAATTTGTATCAATGCTCTTTTTTGGGGGGTTGTTGCTGGTTTTTAAAATATAATTAACTGTATTTGCTTGGAGGAGCCAAAGTGTGATATTACACATAGTTTGGAATTCTATAAATTAACTTCTTGTTTTTCAGTTACAACTTTAAGAAAGATATGTGTGTCTTATATTTGTAAAATAACTCTCTCTGTTTTCTGAAGAGTTTGGTTTCCACTCTTAATGATGTCTGATCTTTCTGGTGATAATTTGATTGTTCAGGATTTATCACTGTACTTTTCATACAATATCTACTTATACACTTGTTACAGCTTCAACTAATCTATCAAACTTTAACCTCTCTTTATGAAGTATCTTCACTTGTTCATATGGATGAGAAAGTTAATCCTACAGTATAGATATAAGAGAAGTTGTACTTGATGATAACAAATCAAGGTTCTTTAAGTACATATACTGCTTGTGAGTGTTTCTACTGGCACACTGTCAGAAGAAAAAAAGTAATTGTAATGATTAGAAACGTTTGTACTGGTACATTGTAAAAAAAAGTAATTGTAATGATTACAAACGTTAATAGGTTAACTTAATATGCTCATCACACATTAACATTTTATATGAATGAAAGGAAAAATGTTTAGAAGAAAGTTGGTGTTCATTTTAATAAAAAAATAAGTCTTGAAAGGTAATTATATTCTATTATGATAATAAATGTAAGTAATATGTTTTTGATGAAAGAATGTTATGTCTTTTTCTAGCCAGGAAAAGGTACAGTTTGTTAGTCAGTAGTCTAAGAAAGGGTATGAGTTCACATCTTCAGTCAGGGAAAGGGTGCTGTTTTTTTATGATTAGAAATATTTGTACTACTAGCCCTGATGAAACAGTTGGCTAAAATAAAAATATTTGTTATTATTATCTGGAGAATAAAGGTAGTTTTTCTCGAGTTTTATTACCCAAATGAAACATATTGTAATCTTTTCTCTAAATAGGAACATTAAAGGTGTTCAAAAAGGGAGGAAATATTACAAGAAATTAGCACAGCATTAGTAATAGTTAAGAGTACAATAAATGACACATGAGCAACACTTAATAATGCTGTCAAGAAGTGGTATAAATTGAACTTGGACAGAAACCTTTAAAGAGACTGAAGAAAGATAAGTTCAATCATTTGAAAGAGAACTTATAAAAATAAACAGAAAGAGAAAGTGTTAGATATACATTACTGTTTAATTATAATGCAAGTGTTATGATTTATATAGCACGAGTATTAAATTCAGTTATTTTTAGAAGTGTTAGTTTATTGCAGGTTTATTTAGGAATCATATTTTATGTAGTTCAATAGTTAAGAATTGGTGATTGTTATATTATTACGTCATGTTACCAGAACCTTCAAAGTATTTTTCGTTGTTTTAATTGAGTGTTATTGCATCATAATATCTAGTAGCTTGTGGAACATTCTAGACCTTTATCGGGGTATAAATATGCATTGAAAATGTAGTGCGATAGATAGATCTAGGCTGTGTGATTGTGAGTTTAACCATAAAGAGCATATAGTGGCGATTTTTAAAGTGAAATTATCACAGATTGTATTATAATAATAGAGTGTAGAAGAAATAATTTGTCTTGTCAAATTGTGTTCTAAATTCTCTGAATCAGTCTGTGTGAACTTTGAGAAAAAGAGACAATTATTTAAAGCTCCATATATGACTGTGATAACCAACAGTTCAATGAACATTTCTTTATATATTTGATGACAGAGTAATTCCACATGCACAATGCAATACATGACACAGTAAATAATTTCATTGACGTGATCCTGTTATAGAAAGTACCATCACAGGTTAAATTATGAATAGGCACGTCACTTAGACCACATTTAGAATGTTCCATTGATAAACTTTAGAAATAATTAAACATATTGTAAGTATTAACTACATGATATGGAAGAATTTGATACTGTTACGTCTCCGTTTGTTAATTAACTTCCCGTAACTTCGTTCCGACGAAACTTTAGCGATACAAGTATTTACTTAAATATATAATATATATTAAATTAAGTGTTTTGCAAAGTTGTATTCAGAAAGAATAAACCAATTTTACTTAAGAAAGGACTTGTGTCGCTAAAGTTTCTTAGGAAAGAATTTTTACGGAAAAATTAACTAACGACCAGAGACGTAACAGTATTGTCTGCTAAGGATTAAAGGGGACACAGCAGCCAAAAAATTATAAAGCAAAATAAGGAATATATTTCATTACACTTAAATGAATCTCTTAGGCATAGAACTGATGAGGGAGGCAAAAGTTGCACAGAACTTAAAGTTAATAAGGTATGATATAAATGACAAAAGTTGGATGTGGCCTTGTGGTTAGCTTGACAAACTGTAGATAAGAAAGTAATTGAATATGTTCTGTACTTGAAGCTATGGGTGTATTATAAAAGTTACAATTATTCCTACTATTCAGTTGATACTGACTAGTTGCTGTGCTTCTAGCTAGCAGTTCTTCAATATGAATGTTTATTCCTGAATTTTAGATCTATGATTTAATCGTTTAGCTCATGTATTGCTGAAAAATGGAGCACAAGGTACATGTGTGACCAACAATCGCGCTAAAACAAACGCTATATCAACGAACGTTAACTTCAACAATACGTCTCTCTCTGACAGCAGTTCAATTACTCATTACCTACACACACATTACATTATTCTGTCACGTTGTCACCCTCTTTTATATACCCGACTACCCTATATCTAGTAAATACTAGAGCATTCATGAAGGAACAAGATAGTTCTAGAAACTAGAGGGCGCCACACCAGTCACGTAACCTCGATGACGCAACAATATGTAGTATTTTAACTACAGTAATCTCTAACTTAGAACTGATCAGAGAGTGTACAACCAGTCAACATCATCTGTTTCCACAAAAGGTTTATCTAGTTTCTTAAAGTATGAAGTATGTTTAGTGGTGTTACGCCTAAAACTTTACTATACATAGCTTGACACACTACTGAGGACTTGGACTTATCGTGACATAAACATCACAAGGTTTTAGAAGATTTCTTGTTAAAATGTGTATTAGGTATCTGCTTGTTTGTTAATTTCCGGTATAAATTCTTTCCGAGGAACTTCGGCGATACAAGTCCTTTCTTAATTAAACCAGTTTATTTTTTCCTCGATACAACTTTGTAATACACAGAATTTCCAATCAGTACGTTAAACTTAACTAATTTTATAACACACGCTATAAATCTCAGTGATTCACACACTTTACTTACGGTGCCTACTGTTCGCTTGATTCAATTATCTGCACAGCGTGGTCACAAGTAAATAGACACCACCTTTTCAGAAAAAATTAAAATTTTCAGTCATATTCACATGAATTGATATATTTATAATTTAATTAATATCTAGTAGATCTTCCTTTCACTTCGTGGAGATCGTTGATCCTTTGGGGCATCGTGAGAATCATCTCGTCAATGTTAGTTTGGGGGTTTTCGCCCACTCTTGCTTCAAAACTTGGAGCAGATCGCTCTTCGAAGTTGGTTTTTTTTTGTTGTTTCTTGACTTGCCGGTCGAGTATAGCCTAGAGCTTTCGATGAGGTTCATGTCAGGAGATTGGCTCGGCCAGGGCAACTTCTGGATACCATTTTCTTCCTGCCACTTTTGGGTGTTTCTAGCAGTGTGACACGGCGCTCCATCTTCCTGGAACAACATTGTGTTCTTGTCCACGAAACCCGAGGAATAAAGTGGCAAGAGTCCTTCCTCCAATATTTTCGACGTATTTCGCAAAATTTATGTTGCCAACGCACTCCACTAAGCTCGATCTCCCACCAGCCCAAACAGCTCCCCAAACCATCACGATGAAACCACCATGCTTCACAGTTGGCTGCAATCTGTTGAGCCAAAACTCTTGGTGAGGTATTCTCCAGACCC